CACAGGGCTTGTTGCGGACGCCCTTATACATTAAAATTTGAAGGTGAATACAAATTTCAAATTCAAATACTCCCACATTTGAATGTAGACCAAATAGAGATGATATGCAAATTGTTAGTTTCAATCAGGTCAGTCAAACTTATTAGACACCTCATTATAACAACATATGATAAAATGGGATAGTTTATGCTTACCTAATGATTTTGGTATGGATGGAAATCATAGATACAAGAATAATGTGTCAAGTCTTGCTACAGATGAACATGATACTTGCTGCAACTTGTTGAGCCTGACTGGCAGCATGTCTTTGCATCGGGGGAGGGTATGGATGGAAATCATAGATACAGGAATAATGTGTCAAGTCTTGCTAAAGATGAACATGATACTTGCTGCAACTTGTTGAGCCTGACTGGCAGCATGTCTTTGCATCGACTCTAATCAAAGAGTCAAAGAAGCCGAAGAAACCATGTTTTAGATAGTCTTGTATAAAAAACTGGATCCCCTTTGGCGCTTCTCCCTCGGAACCGTTTTCTTGAATTAGTGTTTAGCAAAGCTTCATCCAATAAGCTCCGGAAGTCATAGCTGAATCCCCTTAAGGAGCCCTACCAATCAGAACCAAAGTATTTGCACAACAAGTCCCAAAAAAAGGATCTCAACTTTGAAAAGATTAAAGAAAATCAAACATAATCTAAAACGGGCTGCTACCTTTAAAGTTAACAATGGGAGAAGTACTCTGTTTGGGGAGCATTTTTTGGCACAAAATGCTCCTCAGAAAAATTATTTCCCCAAATTATATGATTATTGCATTGATAAAAATGTGTTTGGCAAGTGACTGTTGGGAAGATGTAAATTGAAACACTTCTTTCAATAGACAATCTGAGATGCAGGTGTGGGAGAGAGTGAGACTGATGTAGGTTCTAGGCCAGTTTCATCTTAACGGGGAAGAAGACAGAGAGTGTCTTGGTTAGTGGAGAAGTCTGGGAGTTACACAACCAGATCAATGTATAGGAGGCTCAAGTTCACGTCAAAGTATTCGGTGCAAATTACCCATTCAGTGCAATGGTAAAATTCCTTTTGAAATATATACCTAGAAGTTTTTACAATTTTTGAAACGATGCACATCCATAGTATATTTATAAATATATGCATTGTCCCAAAAATTAAGATGCAAAATCATTTTCTAAAAAATCAAATGAAACTTGACAAGTTTCCGATGCATTATGTACTAGAAGACAAAATCACAGGAATTTTATTTCCTAATGTAGGTGCACACGATTTTTTTTTATTTCATGTGAACTTTTCCAGATTGAGATTGAATCTCAACTTTTTCAACAATTTATATATGTAGATGTACTATGGATGTGCATTATTGCAAAATTTTTGAAAACTGCTAGATATGTGTTTCAATGTGGTTTTCATATTTGTACCGAATGGATGGTTTGCACCGAATATTTTCCCCAAATTTAGAGGGTGATAAATAAAAGGATGGAGAAATTCTGGAAAAAAAAACTTCCTTTTAAAACTCAAGGTTTTTTTTTGGGTTGCCTTACAGGATAAATTACAAATGGGTGTAAGTATAAATCGAGAAAAAGAAGAAATAGAAAGGAGGTAAAAAAAATGTATTCACTGTTGTACTCCATCCGTTCCAAAATAACCGTCATTCTAGGATTCTTTGGAGAAATTAGTGTTATAGCAAAATGATGCATGTGTCCCTACAAAAGGTGTCTTAGTATGCAATAATTACACTTTGAAAACTGAAAAAGTAGCTAAACCTACTAATTCTAGGTTGGCCAAGAGCTAAAATGACACTCATGGGATAGAGGGAGTATGCCATAAATAGGGGCCCACATTTTCTTTCAGTGCAATTTGGCAAGGGGTATTGGGCCTGTTTTAAAGAAAGTTGGGGTAGGACCAAATTCCAAATAGTTTAAGAGGCACGTTTGAAACACGGATCACCTTAGAGCATCTCCAAGAGGCAAGAGCTCTTCTAAATCTCACTCTATAAATCATCATTTAGAGAGTTATTTATATAAAAATCGCTTTCTATATCTTTGATACTCTAACAGTTTTTGTATATCTCATGCACAGAGCCATTCTCGTCTTCTATTTTTGGCTAGTGAAAAATCTAGAATAGAAGATAGCTATATTTATATAACCGTTTAGAAAAGCTGTTGGAGGGTAATTTTTCCCCAAATCTCTATTCCTAGCATTTATGAAGAATATAGAGTCTCTTGGAGTTGCTCTTAGGCCTTGTTTGGCTACACTTCAATCCATATGTATTGGGTTGTATTAGGCTAATCCACCTAAATACATGTAGATTTGGATGGATTGAAGTGCATTCAGAATCTCCTTATCTAGTGCATTTTGCATTTTTGCTGAAGAAGGGCGACTGCAACTGATTGCACGCCAAGAACAGAATCTGATGATTTGGAATAGAAGACCAAAGACATGGAAGTAGGAGGCCTCATCCGAAGTTCAGCGGGAAGTTGGTTTGCTAAGCAGAAAGCAGCTGTCAACTGTGATAGTTTTCAGTGTTTTGCTGTTAGTGTTGGTAGTTCTCTGTGCTTTGTTTGGCTGCGTTTGCTGTAATGGTCTCTCTGTCCCTGGTACCCGTCTTTTTCGTTTTGTAGTTTGTACTCTTTTATATGCCTTCTATAAAAGCTAGGTAACCCTTGGTAAAAAAAAAAAAACTCGTGATTTGTAGGACATGACAAAATTTGATTATATGCAATGGATGCTATGTCATCAAATACCGAATACAATGGGGGTGTTCGGCTGGAGGAATTTGGATGAAAAACACTGTTCCGGATGAAATGTTGTGATAGAAAAACACTATTCTGGATAAAAAAAAAAGCGGATCAAGCCAGGTCTAAGAACACGTGAACGGGGCCAATTATAAATAAGCTAAAGAAAGGTAATGGGCGTGCTTGCTTCTGCTGGCTGAGGCTTACTGTACCTATGTCTTGCTGCGGCTGCTGCAGCCGCAGCCAGCACAGCCGATCAGATTACATGTATAACGGGTTGTCAAATTAATGTAGAGTGAGGATAGTACACCTTTTTCCAAGTACGAATTCTTGTGAAGTACAGGAAGTCTCGACAAAGATAGTACTATATACAGGATGTCCAGATATCCATCATCGTTGGGTAGAAATCTCATTGAGATCAAAGATCCCACTTTGCAATACTATTTCAGAACCTCGAACAAAAGATATCTTCCATTATTCAGTAAATTGCCATCGGGATTAAAGGTCCTACAAAACATTATTTTTACATGGACTAATTCAAAATCCTGGATCTCCCACTGCCAATGCATTATACGAAACAGTGTGTAAGATCATTTAATGCTTGTCCTCCTTGGGCACAGCATCTTTCTTGGCAGCTTGGGACTCCAACTCCTTCACTGAAGATTGTTCAGTAGATCTATTTTGAAACATGAAAATACATGAGACCTTATGGAACTATGGACCAAATGTGATGCTCAAATGCTTATAGTGGTTTCAACAGAGCTTCAAAGCAGGAGAGAAGGCACACACACATAATTATAATGGCTACAGCAGAAGGTGCATGAACAGAACACAAATTGGTAACGCTGAAGCACCAATGTGGCAATCTGACTACTGTAAACTTTGATATATAAACACATCATCATTAATTCATTCGAAAATTATGATATTAGATTGCTTCTTCTGAATCCATATAACAATCGTCCATCCCAGTAAAAGTTTCAGTTTCAGACCAAATAAGGCCATCGAATAATTTATGGTAACATGGCCAAAGCACAATGCTCATGCCCTCATGGGGGTTGGTGCGGCCATGCGCCGTGAGCATGAGGCACTGCTAATTACAAATTGGACTAGTCGTCCACGGCTAATTACATCAGTCCTGCCCTAGTGCCACTCATGGATGGGCAAAATCAAAGTTGTATGGCCAAATGCCCCAGCGCATGTTCCTGGGCTGTCATTGGCGTCCACACAACTTGGATGGCATGACTAGTGGAAACTTCTTGGATGGCATAGAAGAGAGGAAAAAATTAAAAATGGTGGCACTGAAGGAAACACTATATTTCCAAAGACACCTAAGGGATCGTTATGTTTCGATGACATTCCTTATTTCCAATGACACCTAAGGGATCATTATAAGTTTCGATGGCATTCAAGGAATTTTCTCGTCTAACTGTGGAGCGTTCTGCACCCTGCCTCATCTTGGTCAATTTCATGAATGTTGAGTTATGAACCCAGCAAACAGCAAGCCTCCATCTAGCAATGTCATCTCTTAAATGAGATTCATCCACCGGTAAAAGAATGGAGGGACACAAGACATCCTGATCTGGCCACTCTCCCGTTGCTGAGCACTCTAACCAGCTGGCACACCCTCCCAGTGGCAAGCACAACACCTAGACCTGTTGCTTCATTTGTTCGTCCATCAAAATTGTTTTCGGCTTTTTCATTTAAGTTCGGTTACGGATTTTCCATCCACTCTATTTTTCCCTACTCTTCAAAACTGAGCGCAAGATATTTTATTCCTTTCTTCTTTTTTGGTCAGCTGGTGTGAATTTTAATAGCATAGCATTTTTTTAATGCATCCCATATTCTGTTCTTATATGCATGTATTTCTTATCTGAAATTTTCTTATCCCCCGTCCCATTCCTAAAATCTCTTATGCACAGAAGATTATCCTTCAGCTCTTGTTTTGATTTGGATATCGCACTGCTATGCCATTACACAGTACATTGCCATCACGCCAAGTATTGCAAATGAGTCTCTAACTCTCTCTATCACTACCAAAACAAATCAAAGTTTCTCCCATCCTACTCTTGGATCACTTGGCCTTCAAATTTCATCGGTGAACCAAATGGCACCTAAATTTCAGTCCCACCTTGCTCAATGCAGCTCAACTAACCAGATAAAATTAAAATAACACCATAACCATTTTTTTACCACTGAATAACTAGTAGCAGCTAGCTTATCTGAGATCCAATCCAGGCGGGTCCAATCACCAAATCAGCCGCCGCAATGGCCGACGAACGGGACGTGGAGACTACTAGATAGATAGACGCGAGAGCACAAAAGACATGGAGACAAAGGAGCGTACTTGGCGGCGGCGGCGGACTCCTCCTCGAGCCAGTTGCGGATGTGGCGCACGTTGCGGCGGAAGATGGTGGCCGACTGCTTCACGTCTTTCCGCAGCAGCATCACCGCCGCGCCCACCCCCACCACCGTGAGGATGAAGTTCGTGAGCGCCATCGCACGCACCTACGCCGCTCGTCCTCGTCCGACGACCCCTCGCGCACAGCCGCACAGGCGCAGCACTTCACGTCCTCCCCCGCTCGCCTCCCAGGACCAGAAAACCCTAGACAGCGGAGAGCCGGAGAAGCGGCCGGCCACCAGTCGACCGGAAGAGAAGCTTGCTAGCCCGTGGGCCGCCGGCTGATGAAACGGGCTGCGTGGGCTGCCAGACCACGTGCTCGGCCCGTTCATGTTGAGGCCCATCCACCTGCACTCTGTTTCGGCCGCGCTGTGGCAGGCAGTGCGCTATCCATGGGCTCGTTCTCATCCGCTCGTCGACTCGTGCCATGCCAATCTCAACCGCTGCTCTTCGGCTGCTTCCGATCCGTACCGATCAGAGGACGCGAGGCAGCCACACGCACCTCCGAACACAGCATGCTATTCCCCGGGGCTTGGTGCTCAGACCCGACGGGGCACGAGCAGCTGAGCAGCAGGCAGCGAGTATGGAAGCTGCAGGGACGGCGAAGGATGCCAACCCAAGCGGGCCATCACCGGAGGTGACCGCTGCCGCAGCCGCCGCCGCCGCCGCCTTTGGCGAGGAGCAAGAGGCGCTCGTGCTGAACGCGTGGAACGCCATGAAGGGCAAGTCTGCACTCAAGTGCTTCCTCAGGTACTACTACTGTTCATGGTCGCGTCTTTTGCCGTTGCGTGGTTGAGCACCTCACACTCAGGTCGCGTTTGTTGCCGTGACATAATGCTAGCGAGCTTATCATTGGAGCTAAGAAATATTCGCCTACTTATTTCTTTTTTTTTAAGTAAAGAATATATTAGCATGTTTGAGCTGACTTGGTGTTTCTCGTGGCGAATTTTAACAAGCTCCCCGTGTCCATCATGGACAGGGGCGGATCCAAAAGGGGGGCTGGGGGGCTCCAGCCCCCCCTAATAGCTTGATTTCACCACTAATCAATGTAGCAAAAGCTTAATTTCACCATTAAATCTTCATGCAAATCAACATCTCCATTGTTTTAGCCTCCCCTTATCCCGCACCGTGCATCCGCCACTGATCATGGATGCCTGGAGGAACATTTTATTATTGTTGCTTGGTACTTGAATCATAATTGATCATTTTCCCTGTATTTTCTTCTTCACGGATCCGGGATTTGTTTCGTCGCTCCAAGTCGCCCAAAGCTAGAATAACATATATAATTCCAACCTAACCAGGCTTCTGTCACATTCAAAGCCTATTTGGAACACAAGAATTGTTTAATTTCATGAGATTAGTTGAATTGCACCCAAAGCTAGGATAATCTATTGTTGCTTCCTCCGTCCAGAAAAAAAATACAATTCTATTATTCTACCAAATTAAAGTGTCTTAAGTTTGACTAAATATATATATAAAACATTAATATTATAATATCAATATCAAATAAGTATCATTAGGCTTGTCATAAGATATACTTTCATCATATACTCATTCGACGTGATAAACGTACAATAATATTCTTACCTATATATTTGGTCAAATTTTATGCACTTCAGCTAAGAATACACCTAAAATTATATTCTTTTGTGAATAAAGGTAGTACTTGTTATATTATACTACTTCCTCCCTCCAAGAAAGAATGAAAATCTTTTTTTTTTGAGAAGTCAAACAATCCTAATTTTTAACCACATATAAACAAAAATGTACTCGTATTTATGCTATGTAATAAATATCACTAGCACTACCGGAAACAGTAGCTTTGCCGTGTGCCACAGGCACTCGGCAAAGCCCAAAAAACACTCGGCAAAGAATTTGCCAAGTGTAACACTCGGCAAACAGCACACGACATCTACAGTGTCGGCAAACAATAGATTTGTCGAGTGTTTTCTATCGGGCACTCGGCAAAGACTTTGCCGAGAGCTGAAACCGACGCTCGGTGAAAAAAAGTAATGTGACGGAGTGGAGACGGTCACGGCGCGTTTGTCGAGTGTCAAATCTCGAGCACTCGACTAATTATATAATATATTTTTATAATAAACCTAAGATACGATGTTGGTATTATTCTCTATAAATCTAATTAAATTTAAGATAGTTTGACTTCTGGTGCCTAACGTGGCTGATTGGAAAGCAACCTTCAGGACTGAAGTTACACTTCACCTCAACAGAATCAAGCCTGCTCACCAATAGTGTCATGATCTGTCTCCTCCTCTCCTTCAGCCTTCTATAGGCTTTCTTGTTGCTCTGCAACAGTTCCTATACCTTAGTTGGTTTTTTGTGTTCCACCTCTTTTTATATGTGTTAGCAGTGGTTAACTTTGTTGTAACTTTGATGCCCTTTATGAGCATCTCCAAGGGTCTTTCTAAAGCTCAATCTCTAAATCATCATTTAGAGATCATCTGCATAAATATCGTTTTCTATATCTTTTCACTCTCCTACAGTTTTTGTATATCTATCTTTGGCTAGCGAGAAATCCATAATAGAAGACGACTATATTTGGATAACCAATTAAAGAGTATGTTGAAGGATATATTTTCATCAAAATTTCTATTCCTAGCAATTAAGAAGAATTTAGAGAATCTCTTGAAGTTGCTCTTAATAAATTTGCTGGGGAGACTTTTCCCACAGTTTGTGGTCAAATATGGACTTCCCCTCCATCAAGAATGCAATTCTAGAAGTTCTATTCATGGTAAAAAAAGGAAGTGGGAAAGATGTGCATACTTATATATATTGGCCACACGCACACTCCATATTAGAAAATCCAATAGTATACACTTTCTGTTTCTGTCCTGGTCGTGGGGAAGCAAAGGCCGTGCACGCGCGCACGAAGCTCTACGGCGGGTGCGCGCTAAGCGCGCTTCCTAGACAAGGCCCACCAGAGGCCAGGCCCATGCCCCGCCTGGAAGCTTCTTCCCCTCGCCCTGTTTTGCTTTTCCCTTTCAACACGCAAAACAGAGGCGTCTAGGACGCCGCCGCCACCATCGGGCGGCCGGCAGATTCATCCAAACAAGGCAGGCCAATACATCCAAACAGCAGGTATGTACAAATATGCAAGAACTTGATACTATCAGCTGTAGATAATCAGCTTCTTCTCAGACACTAGAATTACACAATAGAACCAAACAGATCTGTTACTAGAAGCAATTCAGTTCTGATATCAAATAGTACTGCTGTTCCTACTGCATAAGCAGATCTCATCCTAACTGATAAGCAATTCGCTACTTTTGCATAAGCAATTCAGTTGTTTTGCATAAGCAATCCAGTTCTTTTGCATCACAAATAGTAATGTAGTTCCTACTGCATTAGCAGATGTGATCCTAACTTGGACATGTAAATGACTAATGTTCTTACTGCACATCTTACTACCAAATGGTGTTCTTACTAGTTAACATGGATATATGCTGTATGCACCACTCCTATAGATGTACATCTTGATGCATTAAACCTTCTTGTGTTAGCTGCTGCACATGGTTACTCCTATGCATTAAACTTTCTTGTGTTAGCTGCTGCACATGGTTGCTGCACATGTTCATTTTGATGCTTGATGGCCTCACACCTACAATTAAATAGAAGTACATGATAAGCACATAGATGGTAGTGAGAACTAAGGAAAAAAATGTTTAAATCAACTGAGTTGAGGACAAGCAAGCCTCAAATTTCAACTTTCTACAAAAAGAGGAAACACAAGAACAATAGATTCATTAAGTTGAAAACTAACTATGGAATAAAATGCATTTTGTACCATGGACAGTCTTAAGTTTCTAAACTCTCATGTGTCCATTTTACAGGTTGTAACATTTAGGTACAGTGTTAGTCAGTCTTCAGTCCCACTATAACTGTGAAAAACTGATAGCCACAGCTATCATGAAATTTCATGTAACTGATAGCATGTACAGAACAAAACTGATATCATGTACTGAACAAAATTGCATAAGTTGCTAGCCTTTTTTGCCTAATTTTGTACAGTATTATTGCCTAATGGGTTTGACTAAGTTGCCTAATTTCATGTAACTTACTGTTTTGCATGTAGTTCTCAAATATGGATCTTAACAAGCTGCCACCATATTTGGATGAAGATTTATTAGATGCATTTGGTTTGGATTATGTGACCAGCAACCTACCTTCTGCACTTAAGTGCCTGCAATTCCTGAAATTCCTCAGCCTAATGATGAGCATGTGAACCAGCAGATTTTGCCTAGTTTTTTCTAAAGTTGGTCATGCTAGTTTAGCAGAGGCGACTCCTGCAGTTTCAGAAGAGGTTCTTCCTACCGTTTTCTGAAATCAGATTGTCATTTGAACAGGCAAGGATTGAGGACAGGAATGAAGGTTCTACTGCTAATCCTGTAGTTGCTGATAATGAATTGAATGGTGCTGGAAATGAAGTAGCAGAAGAGGAGGAAGAGGTGTGGTCTACTCCTCAAATGCCACACAATGGGTTGTCTTTTGCATCCTTGGATGAAGTAAAAGAGTACTACAACTCTTATGCAAAGAGAACTGGCTTCTCGATTAGAACAAACACGTCACGCCGGTCCGCAATCACAAGAAAAATGCAGAAGGTCCAGTTCGTGTGCAATAAGGAAGGCTTCGGCAAGAAAAGGAGAGTTGCTGCTCAGCTTGTTGAAGCTATCACTTGCAACTCTATCAATGATGAAGCCGAAGAGGAGGATAGCGCACAAGAGGAAGAGGATGATCAAGGGGAGAAGAGGAAGAAGCTTGACAAATGTAAGAAAAGGAAGATGGAGAAAATGCTACATACAAACTGCAAGGCGAGGATGGTGGTCAAAATGATTGGCTCTAGGTGGCAAGTCATCTATTTTCTGGCCAAGCACAACCATGATATTATGGTAAAGCCCTCGCTCAAGAAGTTCCTAAGGTCCCACAGAGGGATACCGAAGCCGGAAAAGGATTTCATCGTTTTGCTACACGGATGCAACTTGAGCATGGGTAGAATCATGCAGTTGATGAGCGAGTTTTATGGCTCTGCATAGCTGGTGCCATATGAGGGCAAACAAGTTTTGAACTTTCGCTCCACCATCCACAAGACGGATAAATTCAAAGATATGGGAAACTTTGGATTATTTCAGAGCTTTGAAAGAAGAAGACCCTGATTTCTTCTACAAGATCAAGCTCGATGACAACCATAGGGTTGAGAACCTGTTTTGGGTTGATTTAGCTGCAAGACGAGCTTACAAAGAGGCATATAGCTACTACATCTCATTTGATGCAACCTATATGACCAACATATATGAGATGCCTTGTACACCATTCATAGGAATCAACAGACACTGCCAAACTTTTCAACTAGGATGTGCCTTAATAAGGAATGAGAAGGCAGCCACCCATGAATGGTTGTTTGTAACATTTCTAGAGGCAATGGACGAAAAGGCACCCCTCAACATAATCACCGATCAGGACGTTGCGATGAGAGCCGCCATTTGCACCGTTTTTCCAAACACGACCCCAAGAATTGCAGGTGGCATATCATGGATAAGTTTTCAGGCACAATTGGACCGATCCTTGCTAAAAATGAAGAACTAAATGAGGAGTTTGTGGATTGCTTGAACCACACCATAAGTCCTGAAGATTTTGAGTCAAAGTGGGCCGCTATGGTCTAGAAACATGATTTGGAGAGCAATGAGCATTTTCAGCACCTGTACCACATAAGGCAGAGCTTCATTCCAGCCTACTACATGCACAACTTCTTCCCATTCCTCCAGTCAACTCAAAGGAGCGAGGGGTTCAATGCTATGCTCAAGAAGTATGTGAACCCAAACTTGTCCATGCTACAGTTTGTGAGACAGTACCAGAAAATACAAGAGAAGTGTCTGGTAGCACAGGATGGGCAAGACTTTAGGACTAATGAGAATGAGCGAAGATGATGGTCAAGGCATCTGCTTGAGAAGCATGCTTCCACTGTATACACAAAGAATATGTTCTACAAGTTCTCCAAAAGAGTTTGAGAAAACTACAGAATATGATGTGAAGACTGTAGGGCAGTTCCAATATTGGGTGGAGCCCAATAACAGCTTTGTTTATGGGTATGGAAAAAGGAACTACCTTGCTACAACAATAGAAGAGGAGGAAAGCTACTGCTGTGAGTGTAGCAGGTTTGACGGGGATGGAATCATTTGCTGCCACATTATGAGGGTTATGGTTAGGATAGGGGTGAAATTGATACAAGAAAGTTATATCCTTAAAAGGTGGACGCAGTAAGCAATTACTAGTGATACAGATCAGGTCCAAAATGTGTAGGCACCGGTGGAACTTGTAGCCCATGGGATGCCATTGACCGGCCAGAAAACTCTGAGATTCACCAACGCATCCACCGCATTTGCAGCACTAGCAGTTGAGGGTTGTACAAGTGATGAAAACTATGCTGTTTTGGAGAAGCATATCAAGCAGATGTGATCTGAATTTGAAGAAATCAAGAAAAGGAAGATGGCGAATAGGCAGAACACTGGTGCTATAGAAGGTGGTGCTACATAAGGTGCACAAGACCCTAGTGCTACACTGGTGCTACAGAACACTGGTCCAGGTGCCTCTACTCCAACTGGACCTTCACTGCGAACTGCAAGTTTAAAAACTAGACCATGTGTTATGCTTTACTTCATCCTAGTACACCTGTACTTGATTACTTAGTTGTTGATATTGCATTTCACCCTGTAGGTGTAGTGGCTGGTCCAAGCTCATCAAATGTAGGGAACCCCCCGAAGTCAAAAGCCAAAGGGCGCAGGAAGAAGAAGGTGCACAAAAAAAGGATGAATGGTCAAGCGAAGAGGAAGAATAGGTGCAACGTTTGCAGATCATATGATCACAATGTACAGAGATGTCCAGACAAACTCGAAAGAGAAGTTCAAAATCAAGAAATAGTTTAAATTAAGAAATAGTGTTACTGAAATGTACTTAAATGTGTTTGTGTGAAAATTTGTGTTGGCAGACCCGTTGTACATCTTATATGCTAAGACTCAAATGTTAATGTGCATTGCCTTTCCTATTTACTAAGTTCAGAGTTTAGCCCATTGCTTGATTGTTTAAAAAAATAATAAATAAATTACAAAATTTTGATTCATCCTATACTTCATCCTTTTTTCTTGTGTGGTTTCTTCCGCGCCTACTTTTGACTTGTGTAGTATGCTGATTCATCATTTTTCCTATAGTTCAGCTTAGCTTTTCATGAATCCCGTGATGGCCTTGCCTTTTTATGAATCCCGTGTTCTTAGCATCCCCATTTTAGCATCTTCGCATTTTCTTAGGCAATTTAAGTATCATTCATTAGGCAATAATGTCTTCCTAAATAGGCAATTTAGCCTATTCTTACTAGTAAAAAAGGTCATCCCTTTTATTGCTTATATGGTTGCTTAACTCTACTTGTTCCCCCCCCCATTCATGGGCCTGCACAACACAAGCTTGTATGGATCATGTGGAGGCCCATTCCACTTGTTCATTTTCACTCCTTTTTTTGTGTGCGTGGTTTCATTCCATTACTTACACCTGTTTTTCTCTTTTTTGTCCTTTGTAGAAATAAAGTATGCTCAACACTGCTGTTAGCCAGTTCTGCTCTGGTTTTATAGAGGTTGTAGGCACATTTTTTGTGTTGGGCACACAAAATTGCTACCAGAATACTAATAACTTGCCTGGCTAATGATATTAAATTGCTTACCGGACTACTAATAAATTGCCTGACTAATAACTTGCCTCACACACATAATAAGTAGTGCCTGATCTCAGTCTGGTACTGACCAGCTGTAGCTAGTAGTGGCTATAGTAGTAGCTGGTGTACTAGATGTAGTTAGGTATAGTTGTCTAGAGTTGTAATATTAGGCTTTACAGTTTTTTTGGAAACATTGCAGCATATGCATTAATTACAGGAAACCATTACAAAATTATTTACAAGCTTTACCTCTTATAAATGCAGCCTGTCTTTCTAATTCTGCACAACACTATCTTTGTGAGTTAGCCACTTATGCAGTAGAAGCTTGCGTATATTAGGGATGTCACTCTCCTTAAAATATTGCATTGAATGTCCATCCCAATGTTCAGCATGCATCAACATATGGAAACCACAATCATGACTGTAGAGACAAAACAAACAATATAGAACTCAGTGTAGATAAACAAATCTGACTATATGCAGAAAGGTAACATTAGTTAGACCAGAAAAACTACTTACTTGTTGGACTGGATTGGAACACCAATATCAACAAGTTCATAATTGCATATGGGCTTCTTTGCCTCATAACCATGTTTGGTCCAAAGTTCTTTGATTGCCCCTATCAAGGTGTTGCGGCACTTGAAGAGAGCTTCATCTTCCAGAGTTCTCAATGAGTCTAACACCTCAAACCTTTGGTTTCGTAGGTTCAGGACAAGCAAAAAGTAGTGTCCTACTTGTGTTGCAGATTTTCCATCTCCAAGTGATTGAAGCACAGGGAACATCACCTATGTTGGGTTGGTTATTATCAATGAATGTCATTGAGGAAGAAAAAATCATGTATGACGAAACCTAAATACATGTGAAGATATGAACTTACCATTTGACGATGGTCTAAATGGTTATCTAGAAGCCAGAATACACGTGAGACCTGTGTCGTAGTTAGGTTGCCCTCCTGCATGAAAGTCTGCGAAAAAAACAGTAGCAAAACTACCTTAACAAATTAAGAAAATTGCTAACAAAAACTTGAAAATTTACTTAATACTAAAAGAAAAATTGCTTCTGTACAGATTTATAGTACAAGAATAATAGAAAAAACTACAACTAACTGAGGCCAGCAGCTGGCCATATATATGAACTAATCATGCATGACCTTCTCACACATCAGAAGAACATACTTGATTTTTTTATTCGGGATGCAGAATAATCCAATGAAAAGCTATCAGGAGTGTTGCCTGAATTCCCAAGTGCCTGAGTCTAGACAGATTCCACAAACACTGACCAAGATGAAGGATAACAAAGCAGGGGAATCAAATGTCACCCTGCTAATTAATTTTTCCCCATGGACAACAAACTGAGAATGCGTCATGTGAACATACAGCAGCTAGGAGAGAACTACATGCTACAACAATGTCATAGTGCCAAACATTGATACATGATCAGCCCATGGAAAGAGAGGCAAAATGGCCATGTGTCAACTGCCCGCACTGGTGGGTTCCTGCCAATGCTGCTCGTGATGAAAAAATAGTGGCACTAAACTTGTACACCAGTCAAGAAACAAAAATGGTAATTGTTCAGATAGCCCATGGCCTGATTATAGAGCTACCTAATGTTAATATTTGATCAAACGAGCCTTGTGTTATAGGGCAGTAGATGTAGTTATGTAGTCAAAGATTAATTAGAGAGCAATATCATGAGAAGTGAGGAGGTTACATTCATCTATCATGTCTGTTTTGGCTTTGTAATGGCTATTTGTATTCAGCAAGCAGAGCAGTACTGTAGTCCAAGGTTACATGTGGTAGTAGTAGTTCTGTGGTCTTAGCTTGGTGTGGATCTGCTCCTACTGAATAGTGGGATGCCTGCAACAAGTGTAGGGGCATGGGCCTCTAAATTTTGCCCTAGCTATAGTAGTGGGAGCAACACAAGTATAGGAACATGGGCCTCTAAATATGTTCTCGATGAAAGTGCGAAAAAAGAAGCAAAACTGCCTTAACAAATTAAGAAAATTGCTAATAAGGACATGAAAAATTACTTGATACTAAAAGAAGAATTGCTTCGGTATAGATTTATAGTAGAAGAATAATAGACGAAAAATATGAAGTAACCGAGACTTGTAAAGGTAGAACACGTTTGACAGTCTTTCTACCGGTGTCGTCAATTGTGTAGATTGAAATTTCAGCAATTGGGCTCATTAGCTTCCCACCAGGCTTAACAGATAGATCAAAGATGATCTAGCGTCACATAAAAGCTCTAGAAATTGATTATGACCACGCTACACACATAAAAGAAGCAAGAAAGTGAGCATAAATCATTGATAACATGATGATCAACATTTTTAAAATAATGAAGGAAGACATGGTTATGGGCATACGCACTCTTGAGCTTTTTTAGATATAGTAGACCTTGCATTTTCATGTGCACACACAACAGCATATAAATCACAAACATCCTTGCTGCAATGGAAAGTCCTCTTTGTAGCAAAGTCAATATAAGGCGAGCGGAGAGCAGCTGGCCTTTTTTGAATCCTTCTTGGATGAGGCTCATAGGCAGGTGTAACTGAAGAATTGCCACTAGCAGGCTCCTTAGATGTGGATGGAGGAGGTACAGGATCAGATGCCTAAAACACAACTGCTAGTTTCACCTTTTTCTTCTCAAACTCAATAAGAGCATCATTTTCCAACTTAGCAAGTTCCTCTTCTGGTATATTTGATAGTGAGAATTGAGAACTAGCTGGTGTGGAAGTTGTTTGAACTTCAATAGGTGTTGTTGAAGTAGCGCTTGTAGAGTTGCTAGGTCCACCCTGTGAATTTACAAATTTCATGATGTTGACATCTGGGGGTGTAAAATCCAAAGGATGGCTTCTGGTACAACGTGAGTCACCTGTGTTGGGTTCGTTATCAGTCTAAGCAATAAAGGAAATAACATGTATGATGATGAAACATATCCCATTGTTAAGATGTGAAGTTACCACTTGGGGGGAGCCTAAGCTTTTCCTTCATTCTTTGTGCATTGGATTTGGGCTTGATGGTAGGTTCTGGAGGAATAATCTCTAGTGGTTGAGGTTCACTAGAAGTTGTTGTATCCTTCTTATCTTTAACTTTCAAAGCTTGTAGCCTTTCCAAACGGACCTTCAGTGGGACAAGATCTTCACTGTCATCAACTTGAGATTCAACACGGGTGGATGAATCTACAAGTGGCTACACATTACATTGCTTGTCAACTCTAGTTGCATCCAACTTAGGTTCTTCCAAAGAAGCAGTATCATCCTCATCTTGCTTTTCAATGCCTTCATCTTCCTCCTCCAGTACAGGGGACATGATTTCCATTGCCATCATCATCAAATGCAGTCTCATGATCAGAATCAGAATCTTCATCCTCAGAATCTTCATCCTCTTCATCTTGGTTAGTGTCACCATCTCCATTTTTATCACTCGACAAATCCTCTTCAGATTCTTCGCACAAAGATTCATCTTCAGCAACATGTCCTCTTCTACTCATTGCCTTGGTCTGGCTTTGTGCATAGGAAGGTACAACTTGTTCCAATTTGGAACGCTTTAGTCTGCTGTGTCTCTGTGCAGAGGAAGGTTCACCTTTAGAATGATTTGCCCTTGGACGCTTGGAACTGCCACACGCTGTGATGCGGGAGCTTCATCTTCATAAACTTTTTCCAACAATGTGCCTACAACCTCTGTGAAACCAGAGCAGAACTGGCTAACAGCAGTGTTGAGCATACTTTTTTCTGCAAAGGTCAAAAGAAGAGGAAAACATGTGTAAGTAATGGAATGAAACCACACACAAATTTTGGACAAAACCCAAAAAAAGGAGTGAAAGTGAACAAGTGGAATGTGCCTCCACAAGATTCATACAAGATTGTGTTGTGCAGGCCCATGAATGGGGGGGAACAAGTAGAGTTAAGCAACCATATAAGCAACAAAAGGGATGGCCTTTTTCACTAGTAAGAATAGGCTAAATTGCCTATTTAGGAAGACATTGTTGCCTAATGAATTGTAAGGAAAATGGACCCTAGGCTTATTTACTTTGGATTTTGGTATTTGATGACCAACACAACCAAATTTGACTAATGAATTTGCAAGTAATTGTTTTGTAGTTCAATAGGGTGCAAGACGTGACTTGGATGAAGGCGACATGATGATCCCATGATCAACACCATAAGCAAGACCCTAGAAGCACAAGAGAAGATCCAAGATATCAAGCATAGTCCGAGCACGAAGATGGAAACCAAGCCGAACGTAAGATCGTGAAGAAACGAGCTCGGCAGAGGTGACCGAACGTGGCCCTTATAGGGACCGAACGCGTTCGATCAGTTGCTTGGCAACAACAGGCGTCAGTAGCTGTGACCGGACGCTGAGCGAAGCAGTGACCGGACGCACTGATGACACTGTTCTTCGTCACGACAATGTTTTCAGCATGACCGGACGCAGCGGCACTGGACGACCGGACGCATAAAGTACAACGTCCAATCGAGTCTAGAGAGGTTCTATAGCGGCGCCAGCGTGATCGGACGCATCTGATCGAGTGAGACCGGGCTCGGCCCAGAGTCCGATCAACGCGCGCTCTAATGATCGGGACAAGCTATCGTAGAACCGACCAATTTATAAGAGTACAAGTACAATGGCGGCCCGCAAGCGGTCGCACTGTCATACTTGAACCCATATAAACTCGGTAGTCCGTCGAGTACCACGACAGGTCTCGATAAATGATTTACAACAACAACCAAGATCGTACATGATTCAACATACATGCCACATCTTACATAAGGTTCACAGATACATTTTCATCATCAGAGTATGAAACCAGTTATTACAAACCGAGTTTGATAGATAAAAGCGGAAGCAAATTAAGTTTGAAAGTAAAGTTTCCAACATAGTTTAGTACAATGCCAAAATACGATCATGGTCCACAAAAGCATGTAGAAGGATTAATAAGAAGCCTGCCCAAGGCTTACTCCTCATCCATAGCGGGATAGAAGCAACTCTTGCAATAACCATGATACACAGTGCCATCTACAACATGGGAAATAAAACCCTGAGTACGAGAAGGTACTCAGCTAGATTTACCCGTCATAAACTAGAAATAAAATGACTCCAAGGATTATGCAAGGCTGTATAAGTGGGGATAGCTTGACAACATTTTGCATAAAAGCGATTAACTTAGCTATACAATTATGGTTCCAATATCAGGTTAATTATAACTATCCATCTCTAGATTAGCAACTATCATGTGCCAAACATGTGGTATATCCATTTAAAAGCATACAATAGTAACATAGCAGGTATTGCAATTCCATATTCATCCGAACCATCATGTTCCATAGCACAGTTACTATGATGTTGGGACTAGCCAAGTTTCTCACTATCCGGGAGAGACGGCGATTCGAATCGATTTGAACTAGCTGGGAATTTATTCCTAACACAAACCCAGGCATACCGAGCGAAGGCAGCCTTAGGTCACCTTTGGTACAACTTAGGTACACATTTCACCGGTCCGTACCGCGCCGCACAATCTGGGACACCAGATGCCAGGACGTTCAGGCCTAGCCTGCCCTTGGGCTCAGTCTGATCGCCCCCCACAAGGAGCGCACAACAGAACGAGTCCCGGCCTGAGTTGAGCTATTCGGCTTCGTGGTCGGAACGAGTTATCCGACCAGCTAAGTGATAGGCATGCGTTCAATCTTGTCAGAAGCACCAACAACGGTACGGTCCTTAATCGGCTCAGACGGAATCACATGAGTCATCCTACGCATAGACTCCGCTTGGCCTTGATTTTCTTTTACCCCATGGTTCTGTTCCACGATAGCAAATATAGCCAACCATGCTCCGGTATCCACCTATATCTCGTAGGTGACAGGACATCACCTGACTTCTATCGGTCTAAGAATGGCGAAGCATATGTTCGATCCTAGACCTATACCGGTTAAAGGTGTAATATCTAGACAAGAAATTTATATGCATCAAGTGGTTCCATTCAACTCCTATAACCTAATGCATTAATCATAAGTACTTAAGTAATCATTTGTAAAATACTGGGAGACTTAGAATGCTCCGGGGCTTGCCTTTCAGAAAAGAAGTAGGGCGGTGATCAGGGCACTCTGGAAGCTCTTCAGGATTCTGCTCCTCGCCTTCGGGAGCTGCGACTTGAGGATTCTCCTGCTGGTCCCCTTCCTCTACTTCGTCGAATTCCAGCAACGTTATTTCTTCCTCCGATCCTAGATGCATGAATATGGCATAAGATATTGTGAATGCAAATATGTTAACAAGTGTGGTTTGATGATACATGAAGAATGCATTCTGGCAAACAGCTGTAACTCCTAAACCGTTTGACCTATGGTCCTGAAATTTTAACACAAGACATATGATGAAGTTATCTACAACTTTGTTATTAACTATTTTTACATAAATCATCATTTTCATCATGCAACTTATTAAACTCTAGAATCTATCCGGAAACTATTCCAATTCACATTATAAAGTAACAATACTTCTACTTCATATAAGTATTCAAATTTTTACAACCCAAAGTCTACCAACAGTTTAAGCATACTCTAGAATGCTTGACTCATAAAGGAATAAGAAGCTCCCGAATCAAATAAAACAACAGCGGGATGCTTGTTGACGAGAAACATACCAGCCGTGACAACTTCTCCAGCGGGCACTTCCTCGACAGCGGTATAATGCACGTATCCCGGACGTGCCCTTGTGTTCGCCTGCCTCTAATTGTTCTGATTTGGGTTGCCATTTTTCTTGGGGTGGGGGCATTCCTTGGCCCAATGACCCATTTGATTGTAGTTGAAACATGGCTGATTATTCCTAGGTGATGAGTACAGGCCTGATCTTCCGAGAGGTAGCCGGTAAGTTCGATTTGTGGAGATCTCGACGTTGGCGATCCGGCTTCAAATCAGACGCGATTCGAACCCTGCAACCGTTACACCGCTGCTCCGTTGGTTATCAACCAAGCACAACTTGATTGACCTCGCCAAGAAGGCTTTTCCTGCAAGCGAATCGGCTGCCAGTCCCTTTTGGTAAGGCAATAGTGAATGCCTTACGGAATGGTTTCTGTGGCCTGCTATTCTAAGCTTTAGGTGGTGGAGGCCTAAACTTGGATGTAGGTGGACGGAATTGTGGCCTAGCTATGATAGGCTCTCTTGCATGTGAAGATCCGGAGGCACCTGCCTCATATGCCCTCTTGCAACTCTTAGCAGCTGCATGCATGTTATTATGGTTTTCCTAGGTCAGAGCATCACTAATAAACTCGTTGTAAGTGGCACTCCTAGAATTGGCCATGGTCTTCATCAGTTTGGTACCCAGGCCCCGCTTGAAGCTCTCTATCTTTTTCTCCTCAGTATCCACAAAACCTGGAGCATATCTGGACAGGTTGTTGAATGCGTGCATGTATTCTGTGAGAGTCTTCGTTCCCTAAGTGAGCCTCATAAATTCAGCCGCTTTCATGCGCATTAGGCCCGGGGGAATATGATGTCCCCTAAAAGCCAGCTTGAACTGTTCCCATGTCACTCGCGCATTAGCAGGTAGTGATGACAAGAAATGTGCTCACCAGATCCCTACTGGTCCTTACAGCTGATGAGAAGCATACTCAGCTTTCAGATGCTCGGTGACTCTTAGCAGGTGAAACTTCTGCTCAATGGTATTGAGCCACTCGTCAGCCTGTAGGGGTTCCTCAGCCACCTTGAAGATAGGAGGCTTTGTATCCAGAAATTCCTTGAATGTACTGTGCTGATTTGGCTCGGCCCCGTGTTGTTGTGGGTGGCCACGAGCGGTGTTCTGCGCAATGAGGCGCAGAGCTTCCTCCATTGTCCTTTGGCTCCCCAAGAACTGAGCAAAGAACTCCTGAGCAGACGGCGGCGGTGGGGGTGGTAAGTCATCACCATTGCCATCATGACTGCTACCAGCTCCTGCTCGGGTGCGCGTCATCTGCGAAGTTGCAACAATAAGCGATTATTGGTGGATGCCACAAGATTGCAGATGAATTTATAATCATGCCAAACTAAAATTACTGGAGAAAATTCTCAAATTCGCAATAAAAACAGAGGCATAACAATTCATTCTCGCAACATGACACCACCACTTTTATCACTTATCGGACCCGCACCATGTTAACATACTAGTCACTAGGTGACTCTAATCTTCATTAAGATCGTTGTCGAGGTCGGAGATAGGATCATCCTCATTCTCTGGCTCCACTTCTTTCTCGTCCTAGCCATCATCTTCTACTAACATTTCTAGATCTTCGTCTTCTTTACTAAGGATCGGGTGCAGTTGGTTGTTCAAATTATGCACCTCATGCTGAAAACCCATCACTACATGCTGGGCCCGTGCAAGCTGCTGGCTCAAGTCTCTCTAGGTATACTTCATTCCATTGATAGAGGGGAGGTTCATGGTACCCCGCAAAGTGCAAAACTCTCCACAGCAGAGTAGGTGTTCCGAAAACCATCAGGAAATTCTCACTCCAACTGGTGCTGCCATCGGTACTATCAACATGTACACTTTTGTGAGACAAGGCCACAATAGATAAGAGTTACATAACCGAGTAAGAAATTTATAAGGGGAGGAATAGTGTAATTATTTGAATGATAATTATCATGATGCATGCTCGTTTCGTACGTCCTCACAAACTTAGGAAAAATTTGTTTCTACCGGTAGACACGGTGGCATACATACGTTCTCTCATATATAGCGTAACTAGTCGAGCTACATGT